CCAACAGTGCTGGTTCCCCTCACTGACGATCTCCGCAGACAGCTGGATTGAGGCAGGTTGGCATTACTGATATTACTTGACCTTACAGCAGCGTTCAACGCAGTCAGCTATGATCTACTGATACACTGCCTTGCCGATAATGGAATTTGTGGGGTAATCCTGCAATGGTTCACCTCATTCCTCCACAGTCAGGGACAGAGGATGGCGCTGGGAGGGACAGTGTCCCCGAGGCACCCGATGGTATATGGGGCCCCTTAACACAGTCAGGGACAGAGGATGGCGCTGGGACAGTGTCCCCGAGGCACCCGATGGCACCCGATGGGTCACGTCTCTCCCCAAAGTTATTCAACATCTATATGAGCCCCCTCACCCAGCTGGCAAAGAGTTTCGGGCTATTTCTGTTGATGGGCAGCCAGCTGGATGTTGTTCCCATGAATTTAGCCATGGTTGGGTGGTTAAAGCAGAGTTGACTGAAACTGAAACCGGGTAAGATGGTTGTTCTGTGGCTGGCTCGGGGGTGGGGCGCACAGTCGGGTTGCCAACTCCCGACTCTTGAAGGAGTGCCCCTATCACTGGCACCAACCATCAGGAGTTTGGGCGTGACTCTGGATGCCACCTTGTCAATGGAGGCCCAGGATGTGAAGGTAGCCAGGCTGGTGGTTCTCCAACTATTCCAGGTTAGGCAACTGGCTCCCTACCTGTCTTGCCCATGGTAATCCATTCAACAGTCACCTCCAGAATAGACCATTGTAACTTGCTCTACATGAGTCTACCCTTGAGGCTAACCAGGAAGCTCCAACTGATCCAGAATGCGGCCGCACAGGTCCTTATGGGGACCCCTCAGATGGCACATATTCAGGATGTTATCTTTCTGCAGAGCATGTAATGAAAAGATGTTCCGCCAGTCATTTGGTTTAGGACAGTCACGGGATAACACATTGTCTGGCACGCTCACACCCTCCATCCTCCACAATCCCTCTAGGAGGCTTGTGGAAGCTGAAATTGTTCTACCACCTTGAAATGGATTGGTCATCATCATCATCATCAACAACAACCTTTATTGGCATAGCATGATATTACAGGAAGATAAAAATAAGATAAAACTGAGGGTTTTATACCACAGTAGTAGAGGGGAAAATGGTCAAAACAATCAATTCAGAAAAACATATCCCAGAGTAAAAGTGTACATTAAAAAACTAAGTGTTAAAAACTCTTGCCCTTAGCTTCCATACAAATGAGAGGAACTCGGCTACTGATGCAGTGATTTCAGGGGATCTATCAGAAAGTAAGAAGTTAAACTCATTGTCAACAATCTTTGCAGCAGACAAGAGAGGGCAAATCAGGTGATGGCGTAGAAAAGAATAATGAGGACAAGGAAGGATATGTTGCATTGAATCCAGTTCATTATAGAGGCAGGTGCAAACTCTATCCTTATAGGGGTACCCTTGTATCTACCTGTCACAACAGCTGAAGAAAATAAATTAAACCTAGCTAACATAAAAACTCTGCATTGTCAAATTGTAAAGATACTCCATTAAATTTTGTAGAGAGGGGAGGCCAAGAGAACGAGGGGAGCACACTCCGGAGCTGTCTGCATTGATTACTTGGACTTTATTATCATATCATAGGGAGCCTCTTAAAACGACAGAGTATCGATCTTCATATTATGACGTCGTATTCCATGCCTCGCAAGAGATACTCAAAAGGCGTTTTTAGTTCCTGAGTGAAAACAATCATTGTTAAGATTGTTTTAAGTATGAAAGTTTTACGGGCAGGGAAAGCTGTTTACCTTTGCCATTAAAGGCCAGCTTTGTTCCGCCCGAGAGATGAACGACGCGGCGAACGAGTTACAACAAAGCGAGGCCGAACGAGGGAAATGGCGACCGCGAAGGTGCGACTCAGCGGTTACCTCGAAAGGCCACCCATTTTCACGACCCCCAAAGTTGGGAGAAACACAGAAGGAAAGAAAAAAGGCGGGATAGTCGGGCAGCGGCCGGTCAAGCGCGTGGATTGGCCGTTTAACGGATTTCCCTCAACCGTTTCAGGAGAATTCAAGCCTGACCTCCGGGGGTGGGGGGAGAGAGAGGGAGCCTGAACGCCGCGGGACTGGTGAGTCAGTGGCGTGGAGACAGCAGCGCGAGCCCCGAGGCCAGGCATCCCACCCGCCAGTTGCAACTGTTCCCTGTGTTGTTCTCATTTCGCGCTGTATAGTCTCAGGCGGGGAAATTTCCTGGCCGCGCTGAAGACCCAACCGCCTCGGCGCGCAGGAAGGATGTTTTCTCCAAGAACTGTACTGGGAAGAGTCTATTCAACAGTTGTCATTTTAGGAAGGAACGCCCTAAGATTCAGCTTACTTTCAAAGACACATCCACAGAAAAGCAAAACGGAGTGAGAAGAAATTATTTCATGTTATTAACTTTTGTTTTTAAGCTTTCAGGACGCTAATCCATCTCCCATCGCTATTTGTTGTTCTATCGCACAGTCGAGTCCGACCCTTTGCGACCCCATGGACCAGATCCCGCCAGGCCCTCCTGTCTTCCGCCGTCCTCTGAAGTTGGCTCAATAAACCTGTCAGATCTGCTACTTGCAATGTTCATGGCAGAGCAATGTAAAACAGGAGTCCAGATGGTGATTTCGTTTCTTTTCCCTAGTTAAGTAGCACCTAGAATCGGGAGAGCTGAAGTACAACACGGGAAATCTGAAATTAGAGTCACGGTTGATACGCCGATAATGTTAAATGAAGGTCGGATTTTTTCCCTTCAATTTAATTTCGAGAGTCTTTTCTTGTTCAAATTTTCCAGGTATAGTGATAAGACGTTAAAGGACAGGACCAACATATCGGATACTAGCAACCACAGATTAGTGTTAAAGAACTTTGGTTCTCTGGTGTATGCATAGCAAAACAATTTTCTTGCAGCACAAGACCAGATTAATAGTGCATTTATTAGACTTAAATATGTATCTAAAATATAACATTATAAAATGTATTTCATGTATTAAAATACTAGTTATTTACACTATATTATTTCAGATGTCAAGAATAATTATTAATTCCAAGACTAACAGTACCACTATGAAAAACAGCAACAAAAACATTTTACAGCTTATTTTACAAGGATGTGGTTGAATTTATAATATAGTCCAAATATCAGAAATTTCTTGTAATAGACAGTGGTGGGGAAATAAGAAGGGGCTAGCTATAACAAAATATTATTTGTGAATAAGAATACAAAGTTGAATAAACAACATGAATTGTAGTATGCCCTTTTGATGTCCATTGTAAAGTCACAGTGCAGTCCTAAACAATTAGACCTTCTAAACCCATTGAACTTGATGGGCTTAAGAAAAGAGTAATTCTGCATGGGATTTTACTGATAGTCACAACTCACTTCCTTTTCACTGACTTCATTTTATGTAATGCATTTTTCCTTTTAAAAGTTGTGTCAGTGGAGAAATGAATTATATAACCTAATTATTCTTTTAATCCAATTCCATGGTAATTCAATCATATTAATACATTTTAAATTTCTTGCCAATATACAGGTTTGTCTGACAAGAGTGGGTATGACGGGGATTACATGGCTTCGAGAAACAAATTTGGACATGCCACGTGTGTAAAATAAAAGCATGTAATCAACCAACATCTATCTCAAGGCACTGAAGTGATATATACTCATTATCTTTTTTAAAATGTTTAAATAATATGCAATATCCATTTAAGCTTGTATGCGTTTCTTGAGGACTAGGAGACCATAACTCTACATGCAGGCTTAGATTCTTTTATATACTGTATTTTTAATGGTGAAATATGATACCTATCAAACTTGGGAGCTAACCATTGGAAAAGGAAGTACTTCTTCACGCAAAGAGTGATTAACACATGGAATTCTCTGCCACAGGAGGTGGTGGTAGCTACAAGCATGGACAGCTTAAAGAGGGAATTGGATAAACATATGGAGCAGAGGTTCATCACTGGCTATTAGGAACTCTCGGTCTGGGGCAAGTGATGCTCTGTATTCTTGGTGCTTGGGTGGGGCAACAGTGGGAGGACTTCTAGTGTCCTGGCCCCACTGCTGGACCTCCTGATGGCACCTGGTATTTTTGGCCACTGTGTGACAGAGTGTTGGACTGGATGGGCCATTGGACTGATCCAACATTGGCTTCTCTTATGTTCGCCACACACAATGCTGCCTCCCTACTGTTCTGCTTTCTATGCAGGAATTTCCTCCCTCTTCTCATTTCCTGTTGCCAGCCTTCCTGGGCATGGAGTATGCATATCCATCAGTGGCTATTAGCCACAAGGTATATATAGGGACTCTGGGGCAAGTGATGCTCTGTCATCTTGGTGCTTGGGGGGGGGGTCAACAGTGGGATGGCTTCTAATGTCCTGGCCCCACTGGTGGACCTCCTGATGGCACTGGTATTTCTGGCCACTGTGTGATACAGAGTGTTGGACTGGATGGGCCTTTGGCCTGATCCAACATTGTCATCTCTTATGTTCTTATGTTCATAAATGGTACATTGAAAAGTCAGAATTCTAGACTCAACGTTATAAATGTGTCTTCCACATTCCTTTTACAGACACGGCAATAAAGTTTCATAGTTTGCATAGATTGCATATGTTCTCTGATTTTTCAACTGTGTGTGTATTTGTGTGTGTATGTGCATGTGTGTACGTGCTTGCATGCCTTGAAGTCATGGGAACTTCTGGCGACCCCTACTGGGGTCTTGGACATTTTTCAGAGAGGTGGCTTGATAACCTGCCTCTGTGTCTGGAGCCCTGGTATTCCTTGGAGGTCTCCCTTCCAGTTACTTGCCAGGGTCGACTCTGCTTAGCTTCCGAGGTGAGGACTCAAAGATATGTTTTTAAGAATCCTTACAGCTCAATATTTTAGAGGAATCTGTACTCATTTAACATAAATGAGATTTTTAATATGAGCGTACCAGTTGGGAAAGAGAATGTTTTTCTTGGGTAACAATCTAAGCAGTTAGTAAATTGTTTAATGCAAGTCCCAAATTTCACAAAGTAAAGAGTTTAGCTTAGGATCCCTTGTTCTCCAAGTTACTAGCACTTCTGAGTGGTTGTGATTGAGGGTTCTGAGTTCAGTGAGCCGTCCAATGAGACGTGCAAAATGTTGCGGTTCTTCAGGGTGATAAATTTTTGAATACTTGTACAGAATTCCTAAAAATGGTTCCTGGAGTTTCTCCACATGTTGTTTGCTTTTTAGGAGTGGACGATCTGAAAAATAAGAAAGGTAAAGTCCCATGATGTTGCACAGAATCCCACCTTAAAAAATTTAATTCAGGATAATCATGATACTACAAAATCCACTAGTGATAAATAATATCAGCATGTCATGATTCTATATTTGTAAATGTTTTTGTAGAAGTCATTCTTAATACTCCAGATTTTCAGGACTTAAATTATGTTTTATGGAATGACCTTATTTCTTAGTTCTTTTTCATATTTATAGCATACCATTGAACATAGAAGAAGGAGATTGGATTTATACCCCGCCCTTCACTCGGAGTCTCAGAGCGGATTACAAACTCCTTTCCTTTCCCCTCCCCACAACAGACACCCTGTGAGGTAGGTGGGGCTGAGAGAGCTCTTTCCAGAGCTGTCCTTCAGAGAACAGCTCTGACTGGACTATGGCTTGCCCAAGGTCATCCAGCATCTGCAAGTGAAGGAGTGGGGAATCAAACCCGGTTCTCCCAGATTAGAGTCCGTGCACTTAAACTACACCAAACTAGTAGTTGATGTTAGGAAAAAATACAGTTTAAAAAAAGACCTTTGTTTTTAAAAATACATTCTTAACTAAAATATTTTTAGTATTAGAAACTATCATGCTATTAGTTACAGAATTTCGAGAAGTCTGTTGTAACCATGAACAGTATTATTTTTGAGGCATGAACGCTCCTATTAATTTGAGCAGAAGAGGGAACATCTTTTTTTAATCAAAGTGATAAGTAAAGGTACAACATTGTAATTACATTATTTAGAGAAATTAAATTATCAAAAATGTATAGAAGTTTATTACCTACAGAAATATACAAGATTTTATTTACAATGTTATTGTTTTTATTTAATGAAAAAATACCTGAAAAAAATACAGTGGTTGCAACAAGCAGAGCATACTCTGTCTCAGTCACATTAAGTTCTCCCATGCTTCTGTAAAAGTAAAATAGTGCGGTAATAAATTCTTCAGTGATACCTAAAAAAGAAGAAAGACATAGCTAAAAATAAAACAGAAGAAGAAGAAGAGCTGGTTTTTATACCGCACTTTTCACTACCCAAAGGAGTCTCAGAGTGACTCACAATCTCCTTCCCTTCCTCTTCCCACCACAGGCACCATGTGAGGTAGATGGGGCTGAGAGAGTTCTGAGAGAACTCTGAGTGGCCCAGCTGACTGCATGTAGAGGAGTGGGGAATCAAACCCGGTTCTCCTTATTAGAATCCACCACTCTTAACCACTACACCAAGACAGGCCAAATGTTGAGTATCATAAGACAGATCAAGAGAAAAAGACATAGAATGGATTTATAGGGGTCTGCCACACAGGTTACCTGTCCCAATGTATAGAAATATTGATTTTTAAATGTCTCCTGCCTTCTCCTGTGATGTCTTTCTGATAACATGCTGTGCCTTATTTCCTGTTGCAAGCCAAATGGTGAGCCAGATGGCCTGAACAACTTTATAACCCACATTCTTCACACTTCCATGCTAGAAGCTAGACTGTAAGGCTCCACACTAGGCCTCACATGAGTGTTGTCACATAGGCAATGAAGAAGCTGTGGAGTTTGGGTCACCTGACTGCAGGAGGGGCTCCAAACTTCTAGCCATTCCTGTGTTGCAGCTATGGCAACCAACAATTGGGCACACCCATGCCCACTCACAATTGGCTGATGGCCACAGCTAATTTGTGACTGGAATTGGGCTATAATTGATTGATCCCTCTGGGAGTGAGTCTCTTAGCTCTCCCTCCTTTTGTCATTATGGCACCTGAAATGCTGCCTCTTGAGAGACAAAGGCTGCGGTCACATGGAGCATTAGCCACGCTACAGAGACGGAAGATAGATGGATTTTCCGGGCGCGATCACACTGCCACATCTGGGAAGCGTAGAGCTCCCGTGGCTCACCCGAGGCTTCCTG